GGGTGGCTCATACCATGCGTGGCGGAGGAGGAGGAGGTGGCTGCCGCTACGGTTGCTGCCGCAAAGGATACCATGGCTGCTCCAAGTGCTGCTCTTACGCCGGCGAGGCTGTCCAAACTCAGCCGGAGAACGAGCCTGGTCACTAGACCCATATATTCATATATCCATATATATATAGTGTGTGTATGTGTATGTACGTACGTACACTAGGGCCATGCATGGTTGTGGATTTACGTATACGCTCTCGTGTCTACGTGTAAGGAGAAACCTCATGGGGCTTTGGTGATGAAGTACGTGTGTATATGCGTAGACTAAATAAAAACTTTGTGGAAGTTTCTGCTTTTCTTTCTATATATATACCACGTTCTCATCGTGACGCGTAACGTTTTGTAACCCATTTACCATTTTATTTACATAATGTTTGCTTGAAAAAGGTCATGTATCAATCTTTAATATGTTTTGAAAATTGTTAAAAGTATAATAACAGATGAATCAAAGTAACTATGGAAAACTAAAATTGTAAAATATTTAATAGTGAGACGCTTAAATGCATTTATTGGATGATATAATAAATTGTTTTTTTAATGCTTTTTTCTAGATGAAATGATTAATTTATTCAGTTTATGAAAAACAAAAATCTAGTATAGATACGTAACCCTGGAAAACAAAAATGTATTTGGCCCTATAAAATTCGTGTTCGAATCGAATCGGGCCGTCTCACTTAATATACATAAAAAATAATTTATTTAAAAAAATAAAAAAAAATTGGGTTTTTGGATCGATTTGGATTCCGTCGGGCTTAGCTCTATAAAATCCGAATCCGATTTACAAAATTTAGATGTGATTGTTTTGATATTAAAATTTCTAAATTCAAAATTTAATTCTAAATTTTAATATTTCAAACATTTAAATATAAATTCTAATCTTTCAAATTTTTCGACATGCACGAATTTACAGTACAGCTATGGTTTTATATGTTTTTTTTTGTTAAAAAGTGTATTTGTATTATATATGATAAACATGTAATACAAGAGTTTCGTCAACCTACAAAAGAGTGATTAGTAACCTGGAAGGTCTACAAAAGATACTCTTGATTGAGTAACATATTTAGCAAAGCAAATGGTTAAGTGACTGAAGTAAGCGTTCAACCGTGAAGTAATGGGTACGACGATCAATGTGTGGAGAACCAAATCTGAAGTAATGAGCTGGCCAATTGATGGTGTGAATATCTAATCGCCGCCATCTTGTTTTGGAAACAACGATCAATATCTCTACGGATAGAAAACTGATCCTTGAAGCACCCCGTATGTAGAAGTGAATTCTGTTCAAACCATACAATGTCAACAATTGTTTGCCACATGAGATGGGCCCCTAATAACCGAGTTTTGCATGTCCATCTCCCAAGCAGCCAGTTTAGAATATTTGCCCATGAAGTTTGGGTTGGAGGTGTACCCCATTTCCTCATAGCCCAAATGAATATGTCTTTTGTGTTGCAACACTCGAAAAAAAAAATGACTCCTATTTTCAGAATCACAACCACAATAGAGACATTTCGTATCAACCTACAATCCCCATGATGCCATCCGTTCCTTAGTCGGACAACGGTCATGTGCAAATAACCAGACAATGAATGAGTATTTCGGTGTATGAAACTTGCACCAAACAAGTTTGTGCCATGGTGAAAGTCTCGAGTTAGGAGATATGTCTGTGTATACCTCCTTAGTAGAGAAACGGTCCTGGGATTTCCTTCAACTACCCAGGCCAAGGTATCCTCTTGGGCGGAGAGTGTCTTTCCGGAGAATAAAATAGACAGCGAAAGAGCATGGTCTGTTGGGTGTGTTATTTTATATGTCTCATATTCATACTTTATTAACTTCCAATTCCATACCAAGAACTTCGAGCTTAATAACTTTCAAAATATACAACCACATCATGCATATCATACATCATTAGAAAGATAATATCGATATCTATGAAACGACGTCAAGAAATGCAATTCCGATAACGGTATAGAAAGTTATGTTCAAACCAACATCATTATATCAATATGATTTTTAAAACCGAAAAATCAAATCCGAACCCTCGGCGAACCGTGTCTCCTTAAGAAAATTATTCTCCGCGCGGTACCTACGGTTAATGGAATATATCCTCCCAGGATAGGACGAACGTACCTCACCGGAACAGTGGTACTTCAAACTCCGGCGTCTTGTCGAACTCAAAGCTCGGCTTGAATCACAAAGAGAAAAAGATGTTTCTTTTGTATAAAGCTTTGTTTTGTGTTTTGCTTGATCTTGTTGTGTAGAAAAATGAAAAGAATGTCTCCTATTTATAGGATTGGAAAATTGTAAAACTTCCAAAAATCATAAATACATTTTTTAAGTCTTAAAAAATATAAATGTGGAGAATTATAACATACAAAAATATCTCCATTCATTTATTAAAAAAAGACTCCAACAATCCCCCACATGAATGAAGAATTTTAGAAAACTCTTTAAAACCATGCAACCTTTGTTATTCAACTATGAAGAATTAATCGTATCTGGATAAGTAGGTTTCCCTTTGAACTTTCCATAGTGGATTTAAATCGGATATACTCACCAATCGGTAGATGCGATATCTTTGAACCGTCGGTTTTTTATGTATACCAAACAATCTAAACCACATAATTAATTCTTAACCGTCTTTGGTTCTCACTGTTGTGTTCGTTTCAGCCATGAACACATGCCTGGTTTCATGAAAGCGTAGAGAACTGGCCAACCATTATTCTCCTTGAAGCGGCCCACACTTCACTTTCACATAGGTGGTTTCCTAAGCGTGTCATCTCTGAAGATACACTATTTGATCATGTCAAATCTAGGAACCATTAAAAATTTCTTAGCTTTTAAGTCTTCTAACTTAAAGCCGTATAATTTACCATTTTCCATAGAACATTATCTCATCATGAGAATGAGTTGGGTTATATTTGACAATGTTGAACCGTTAGTTACGACTTTGTATTCTCTTTGAATCTAGTTCTTGGGATCTCCAGTCTGCTAGGTAGAGTTACCACCGTACTAACTTGTCCTTGGCCATAAACCCATTCCCTTGGATGATTTTTCAACTAAATCTCTACAAAGACCTTTTGTAAGTGGATCAGCTACATTATCCTTTGACTTCACGTAGTCAACAGTGATAATACCACTTGAGATTAGTTGTCTAACGGTATTATGTCTATGTCTAATATGACGAGACTTTCCATTGTACATCACACTTCCTGCCCTTCCTATTGCAGCGAGATTATCTCAGTGTATGCATATAGGTGTCAATGGTTTGGGCCAATACGGAATATCTTCCAAGAAATTCCTAAGCCATTCAGATTCTTCACCAGCTTTATTCAAAGCTATGAATTCACTTTCCATTGTAGAGCGAGCGATACATGTCTGTTTTGAAGATTTCCAAGACACAGATCCTCCTCCAATTGTGAAGACATATCCACTCGTGGATTTTGTTTCACTTGACCCAGTAATCCAATTTGCATCACAATATCCATCAAGTACAACTGGATATTTGGAGTAATGTAATACGTAATTTTGAGTATGTTTTAAATACCCCAAGACACGTTTCATTGCCATCCAATGACTAGGATCTGGATTACTTGTATATCGATTGAGTTTACTTATTGCACAAGCAATATCTGGTCGAGTACAGTTTGCGATATACATCAAGTTTCCTAGAACTCTTGCATAGTCCAATTGAGACTCACTGTTACCTTTGTTCTTTGCAAGAGCAAGGTTTACATCAATTGGAGTTCTTGCGACTTTGAAGTCCAAGTATTTAAACTTCTCAAGTACTTTCTCAATATAATGAGATTGAGAAAACGCAAGACCTTCAGGAGTTTGAATTATTTTAATTCCAAGAATTAAATCAGCAACTCCTAAATCTTTCATATCAAATCTTGTGGATAACATACGCTTTGTATCATTTATAGTTGAAATGTCATTACTCATTATCAACATATCATCTACGTATAAACACACAATGACAATTCGATTAGGAGTGTTCTTAATGTAGATACATTTATCACTCTCATTAATCTTGAAACCGTTTGTCAACATTACATTGTCAAACTTAGCATGCCATTGCTTTGGTGCTTGTTTAAGTCCATACAAAGACTTAACAAGTCGACACACCTTACCTTGTTTTCCCGGAACTACAAACCCTTCAGGTTGTTCCATATAGATTTCTTCCTCTAAATCTCCATTTAGAAATGCGGTTTTAACGTCCATTTGATGGATTTGTAATTCATAGACGGCATCCAAAGCAATTAACACCCGAATGGATGTAATTCTCGAAACTGGCGAATATGTGTCAAAATAGTCAAGACCTTCTCGTTGTCGAAAACCTTTCACAACTAGTCTCGCCTTGTACTTGTCATTGTTGTCAATAGTACCATCATCTTTCAATTTTCTTTTGAAGATCCATTTGGAACCTAACAGTTTGTTCCCTGGAGGAAGATCAACCAACTCCCACGTATGGTTGCTTAGTATGGATTCAATTTCACTATTGACAGCCTCTTTCCAGTATTGAGCTTCTGGAGAAGTCACAACTTCTTTATACGTTTGAGGCTCATTTTGTTGGTTGTGATACTCTAGGATGATCCGTGATATGACATTTTGACTTTGTATTGATTCATTGATTTATGAATGCATTACTTTTCCCGTTATATGATTAGCATGTTTGTTATATTACGGTAAATATCCTTGAATCATTGCAGATGATTCTAAATTCCCTGGTCAATTATCATTGTGGGAACAATGATGAATTAAGACCAGCATGATGTGTGATAGATGATTATGATCATATGCATTAGATGCAAATCACAATCATGGGTTCTCGTTTGGAACGAGTTACTGGATGACCCGCATGAGATTGTCACATGGACATGAGTCATGACTTGAATCTCATACAGCGGTTCGTTCTTGGATCCTCAGACCTGAGATGTCTAGAGTATCTGATATGAGGAGTGACGTGTCTTGACTGCGTCAAACGTCGTCTTTAACCGGATGATCATAACGGCGTTGCTCAGATACGTTAACGAATCATATGCAGATAGTAGACATGCAATACGGGACTTGTCACCTCCTACGCAGGAGAGATGTCGCTGGGCCCCTCGTGGAAATCGGACTGTGAAAATGCGTGGCCACGCTATAGATGAATGTACATCTATTTTATCAGTCGGTTTGCCTAGACGAGTAAGCGGTTGAACTTGAAGGGTGGCTCATACCATGCCCTTGTTCAACATACGACATCGTGAGACAAAGGATCAGAACTCGAACTATTGCTGGCTTTGTTAGATCACCTCTAACTCTATTCTAGGTGGGTGGTCATGGCGTCTGC